GAGATATTGAGCATTTTTTCATATGTTTTTTGACCATTATTCTGTCTTCTTTTGAAAAGTTTCTGTTCATGTCCTTTGCCCAGTTTTTGATAGGGTCGTTTGATTTTTTCTTGTTGATTTTCCCGATTTCTAAGTAGATTCTGGTTATCAGCCCTTTATCGGATTTGTATTCCCCAGCATCTTTTATCATGTTTGGTACCCAGCAGGTACAGTTGAAGGTCTTGGAGTTTGCAGGATTGTGATAAAGGCATTATGCACTCCTGCCTCTCCTTTATATATCTCCTCAATCCTCTGCCATGGTGAATATCCCACGGCACTGGAATCTCTTTCTGCAGCTGTACTGCACACTCCTAGAAAACAGAGGCTATGTCCTATTCAAATATGAATATCCATGAATCATAGACCTGGACAAGAAGCTTCTAGAAGAAAACGTGGAAGAATATCTTTGTGACCTTGAGCAAAGGTTTCTTAGACAAGGACACAGGAAGCACTAACCATAAAAGACAAAACTGATAAATCGAGCTATGTCACAATGTAACGTTTCTGCTTATCAAGACTCCCTTAGGAAAATAAATTGTCAACAGACTGGGAGAAAATATTTGCAAAACATATATGACTAAGGACTTACATTGAGAATATAAAAAGAACTTCTACAACTCAATAATAAACAAATGATCTAATTTTAAAACCTGTCATAAGATTTGAACAAACACTTCATAAAGGAAGATACACAAGTGGCCAGTAATCATATGAAAAGTGTTCAACATCATTAATTATCAGGGAAATGCACATTAAAGCCACCAGAATGACTAAAATTAAAAAGACTGATAACATCAAATGTCGGTGAGCACGTGGAGCAATAGTGGTTCTCACACATCATTGTGTGAGTGTGAAATGACCTTTCACTTTAGGAGAGGTCTGGCGCTCCTGGGTGGGGGGGCGGTGGTGACATACACATGAATAATTTAGGAGGCAGAGAGAGAAATGATAGTCCAGAATGGTTATGAGAATTTAGGAAAGAAGTGGCAGCTTGCAGCTAAAGATCATGAAGACAGGCTTCTTGGAGAGGGCGGCATTGGAATGGTGTCTTTGAAGAAGAGTCGGAGTGGATGTTGGGGGCAGGAGCCCCTCAAGCAGCGGGAGGCAGGAGCAGAGAGCCGAGGTGGGGGTGCTCAAGGAACCCCCATGCCCTGAAACATCTTCACCTGGTCGAGTCCTGTCATCCTCTGTCTGAAGCAGGGTCTGCCCTTTTCACCCTTATTCTGTGTCAAAGGACATTTTGTTGTACTTGACACGGTTGTTCTGTTTCTCTGTTTGCTGGGTGACTGCCATCTTCCCTGTTGATTCTAAGCAGGGAGGACTAGCCTCTCCTGGCATGCAGGCCCCTGAGCGCAGGGTCTGTGCCCGTTTTGTTCACTGCTGTGTCTCCCCCGACAGCAGTGGCTGGCACAGAGTGGGCATCCAATAAATATGTGTTGATAGAATGAGAAAACAAATGAATTAAAGTTGTTTAGTTTGGCTAGACCACAGGTAGGAAGTGGGACTTAGAGTTCCAAGGGCAGCTTGGGGCTAATTACCTTAAGAGGGCCTGGTTTTCCTGTGAAGGCCTTTGGGCTTCATTTTATAGTTCTGAAGGGTTCCTGAGTGGTTTTGAGATGGAGGTTGTCTTAGTCTGTTTGGGCTGCTATAAAAAATACCATAGACTGAGTGCTTATAAACAACAGAAATTTATTTCTGACAGTTCTGGAGTCTGGGAAGTCCAAGATCAAGATGCTGGCAGACTTGGTGTCTGGTGAGGGCTCACTTCCCGGTTCATAGATGGCCGTCTTTTCACTGTGTCCTCACATGGTGGAAGGGGGGAGGGAGGGCTCTCTGGGGTCTGTTTTATAAGGGCACTAATCCCATTTATGAGGGCCCTACCTCCATGACTATCGACCCCCAAAAGGCCCCAGCTGCTAAGACCATCACCTTGGGGGTTAGGTTTCAACATGTGAATTTAGGGGGGCGGGGAATAAAAACATTCAGGCCGTATCAGGCACAATGGGCTCTGAGCTGTGCTTCAGGAGTGTTATTCTAGTCAGGGTATGTGGGCGAATTAAGGCAGGCAGAGAAAGGTGGTGTGAAGATGACTCAGGTCTAGGGCCCAAGCAAGGGCCGTGACAGTGGGTGCTGGGGGTGGGGGCGGTGGAGGGTTTAAAGGGCAGAGATTGGAAGGGTGTTCAAACTTAGGTTCTGAGCTCACATAAATATCTGGGAAACACGTTTATTGTCCAGGGCAGGGGAGGTGGAGAACCACTTCCTTAGCAGCATGCCTTGAGCAGCAGCGTGGGCCCTGCCTTCCTTCCTCTCTGAAGGTAGCTGCGGCGCAGTGAGGTGAACGCCATGCAGTGAGCAGAGCCCGGGCCCAGAGTCAGGTCTTGTCTGTGACACTTCTTGGCTGTTTGATTTTGTGCAGGTTATTAATGTCTCTCTGAGCTTCAAATGTCCTTATCTACAAGTTCATGGGATTGTTGCTTTGATTAAATAAGGTATGTTAAGGTTGCCAGTATATAGTAATAGATGCTTAAGAATCAGAAGTTGTTATTACTACATCACAGGGTTGTTGGGAGGATTCATTTAGGTCTTGAATGAAAGAAAACTTTTTGTAAGCCATGAAGTCTTAAGTCTAAGTTAAGTGGTGTTATTATTAATGATTCATTATCAAGTTACATGGCTATATATATTCTGGGGTTTTAAGAATTTTTGTATTTGATGAAAGTCCCTGCCAAAATTCAGTTGTCTACATGAACTCTTATTCCTTTTCTTTTCTTTTCTTTTCTTTTCTTTTCTTTTCTTTTCTTTTCTTTTCTTTTCTTTTCTTTTCTTTTCTTTTCTTTCTTTTCTTTTCTTTTCTTTTCTCTTTTCTTTTCTTTTCTTTTATAAAGGAACTTAAAGGAGATGTCTTACGTGATGTGTAGCAAATACCTTTGTTCAGAGAATCCGGGCCTTATTAGCAGAATGACAGGCTACACTTGAAGCAATGTGCTTGTCAAAGGTTTTGGAGTGTCCACAAAAACCGCTCAGTGCTTTTTTGATATCATCATATCACGGGGCTGGCAACAAGGCTGTCCCTCTCCTTCATATTTCATGAGGTCTTTGTTTAACAAAAAAAACTTTTTATGCGTGTTTCTTGTTTCACTTACAAATTTCTTTCAAAAGCTTTTTTCTTTCTGTGCTTCAGCTTTCTGAGGAAGAAAAAATCCAGCGATACAGCATCCTGTCTGAGCTCTACGAACTGATCGGCTTCCATCGCAAGTCAGCGTTCTTCAAGCGCGTGGCTGCCATGCAGTGCGTGGCCCCGAGCATCACGGAACCCGGGTGGAGGGCCTGCTACAAACTCCTCCTGGAGACGCTTCCTGGCTACAGTCTGTCGTTGGATCCAAAAGACTTCAACAGAGGTACTGAAAGTCCTGCTGCTGGAACTAAAATGATGCTTTAATTCAATTAATCGTGCACTGTTTGAGCACCTGCTCTACATGGCAGACTTTGTGATTGGTGCTGGTGGTGCAAAGATGACTAAAACCCTGCCCTGTACTTGGGTACTCTGGGGCTTGAATTCTTAAATCTTTATCCGTCGTAGACAGAAGTGGCCTTTGAGCTCGTTGGCATGGTGTATTAACAAAATACTTGAAATACCTAAGAATTTTACTTATGAAATTTAGTTAAGTTAGCAAAAATCAATGAACCAGGAATAAATATACTCAGGCGTATGTGTATACATATAGCTGTGCATTTGCTAGTAGATTCTTATTCTGTAGTATTAATGTAGGGTAATGCATATTAAAAATAAAGCTATCATAACAAGTATACACGAGTGTAATGCCCAGTATTAGGCAAAGTCTTATTAGGAGAAAACATTTTTTTTGGTTACTGTTTTAGGTAGGGAACATATAGCACTTTCTCCAGTTCAAATCTAGAGTTAGCAAAGGCATAGGCTTCTGGATAGGAAAGGAACTGAGAAGTCAGTCCTCTAGGTTATTGTCCCACCAGGACAAAAATGGATTCTTCAGCATCTTTTTTATATAGTCATATCAGTTAAAGACCTGTGCTGACTGGAAGAGCTCATGGTTTTAATGATGAATCCAGTTCTGCTTTTAGTTAATTCTGATTGTTAGGGCTTTTCCCCAAATTGAATGAAAAATCACATTTCTCTTTACTTTCACCTACCTGAATATCTGAAGACATATCTACTTACCTTTTTCATACATTAATTCAACGGATGGTGTGTTACGCTATTGCCCTGTGCCACATGGTGTATTAGGTGAGTAATGTGATGGTAAAGAAGATAGTTTGGCTGGCATGGTGGCTTACACATGTAATCCCAGCACTGTAGGAGGCCCGGGTGGGAGGATCACTTGAGCCCAGGAATTGGAGGTTGCAGTGAGCTGTGATGGTGCCACTGCATTTTAGCCCAGGCAACAGAGTGAGACCCTGTCTCCAAGAAACAAGATAATTCCTGCCCTCTACAGTAAAAATAAACAGGCAGTTTCTCACATAAGACAACCCTCCAAGTGTGTGCAGAGAGCTCTCAGGTGCTTTCAGAGCCTTCTTCTAATTTCTTCATCTCTAGTTGCAGTGAGATTCCTGATAAGTTACATTCTCTAGACTTCTTGCCATTCTGACCATCTTCCCAAAGCAAAACTTGAAGTTGATAGACTCCATCTCTCCTAAATCAGATTCTCAGGATGAATTCTGGTTAGCTTAGAGGAGGGGTCAGCAAAGTTTTTCTGTACAGACCCAGACAGTAAATATTTTAGCCTTTATGGCCCGTATGATCTCTGTCACAACTACTCGACTCTGCTATTGTGGGGTGAAAACAGCCATAGACAATATGTAAACCAATAAAACTTTATGTAAAAAAATAGATGGTGGTCAGGTTTGACACAGCAACTATACTTTGCCAAACCGTTGGCTAAGAACACAATGATATCTAAAATAATTTTTTTGCCCCAAATTACTTAAAAACATTTGTCTAAAATGCTTTCTAAAATCATTATTTAATAAAAGGAGGGCACTGGGGTTCGCAAGAGAAAAGGGAGACTAAGCGAGTAGTGGAGTAGAAGGAGGGTCTTCTGGACAGGACGTGAGGGGAGTGAAGGGAAGCTGGAACGGGGCATACAGAGCACACGCCGTGCTTTAGGCTCTTACTTTTCTGGAGGGAGGAGACCTGAACCTGGGGTGGGAGTGACTGTGCAGCCAGGGGAGAGCCCTTGCACTCTGGCTTGGAGCGGTGCTAGGAGGAGATGAGGCTCTGCAGGCAAGCAGGTGTGTTAAGGAGGGTCCCACAGCAATAAAGTAACCATGGATTTTTATCTTTAGGACCTTAGACGTCCTGCCTCTCTGGAGCCCCTGGGGTTAAGATGGGGCAGGCAGAGGCTGATTAGGGCAGCCGGTACACTTCTCTGTTCCTGTATGGGAGCACACCATATCTGACTTTTACGTGACCTTGCCAGGTGTCCTCCATTCCGTACCCATGCTGTGGACTTTTTTTTTTTTTAATTAAACATGGCCTTGACATTTGTCTCTGTTGGATGTTATCAGTGACACTGACTCATATTGTTGCTCTAGTTCATTTTGAACCTGGATTCTGTCCCTTGCTTTCGTTTCAGCTGTTGTTGACAGTATTGAGTGCAAGAGGTCAAGAATAGAATTTGGGACCCTTTCTAACAGGTCTCCTATTCTCTAGAGATTTCTTGGTTTTTGCTTTGTGCTGGACGCCATGCCCTGTGTTGAGGAGGAACACATGGATGAGCCAAGCTCCCTGCCTGATCTCAGCCACATCCGAACCCATTCAGTGGTATTCTCTGCCAGATTGTATTTTACCATCTTGCCCAAACAGATGTCATGACAGGATTTTTTCATCTGCCCTGTCACCTGCTCTCCCTTTCTCTAATTTTTTTTTCCTCTGCATTCTGCCAAGAGATGGATGGAACCTATGGTTTGCTGAGCCCCTGTTTCATGACTGACACTTTTAGTTGGACCTGAGAATACATGAATTGAGACTGATGATGTGTGATTTTCATACTGGTCTCTGTCTTCTACATATGAGGAGCCTCAGGGCAGTCAGGTGCTTCCCCAGAGGTTGTTGTGGCCTCTGCACCACACCTTGTGTGGGCCTTTAACTGGCTTCTGAGGGCTGCTTCCACCCCCAGACAGCTGTGCCCCAGCTGTGGTCATAGGACTGTCCTTAGTTCCCATAGCACTGTTAATACCATGTGGTCCTTAATAGAGCATTATTTTGGTGCCTGAGGACAACAGGAACTCACAGTTGAGAAATGAAAACCTTCATAAAGGATTACTAGGGAGGATGAGGAAAAATAAAAAAAAATAAAAAAAAAAGAGGGAAAAAGAAGAGAAAGAGAAGTGAAAACCTTTAAATGGGACTGTCATTGCTGATGGAGTCCTTGGGCGGACTTCTGCGTTAGCTGTCTCTGCCCTGGGCTCTGAGCCTGGCCATTATGGTGGGGGGCTGGCCGCTTGCCCCACTGAGTCTGGGTCTGGCTCTTTCTGTACTTCAAAAAGAGGAAGATTCCTTCCTTGTGGCTTCCATTTTTTTGTTCCAGAAATGAGGACAGACAGCAGATGTGTGGAGTGAGGTCTGGTGTACATACTTGGAAGATTCTCACATGATTCTGAGAAGACCGATCTAGTTCTTACCCTCCTTTACGGATGGTGGTGGGCTTTCGCTCAGTGTTGTTTCTGCTGGAAACACTCACTGGTGATGGAGAAAGGGAGGGGACAAGGGGGGAAGGCTGTTGGTCTAGGATGACCACGCAGTGGGGCGCCAAGGTCAGCTAAGGCATGAGAGGAAGGCGTGAAGACTGATTAAGAGGTTGCTGGATTTGGGGACCCAAGGTCAGACTGAGCCAGGATGAGGGATTTGGGATCTCCGTAAGATTTGCTGTTGCCCTTGTGGTTGGTGTGTTTCAAAGGAATCTCACCTGGAGCCAAAGCTACAGACGGGGAGTCAGTGACAAGATGACATACTTTTCCAGAAGAGCTTGCTTCTTACATCCTCACTGGTCAGAGTTTACTTTATTCCTGCCCATGGAGTGCCTGGCGTTCTGGGGACTGGCTCCTAGGGTGAGGCCATTTCCCAATTCCCAGCCTCTCGGTAGCACTGCAGTAGTCCAGTGGTAAACACCTTCCAGCTTTTCCGAAGAGAGAGATGGAAAGATGAGAACAAAGCCTACAAACCAAACAATGCTCTCATAATGCATTGACATTGCCAGGGTTTGCTTTTAAGGATGAGCGGAGCAGTGACCAGAGGGGTGTTGGTTGGCCTCCCTCACCTGCTCTGCTGACACCAGCAGGCAGCCTTCTGGTCCTGATTCTACTATGGCGAACAACATCTGTGTGGTGCTGGAGGGTATGCCAGTGTCCGAGACATCTGCTGCATTCAATATACAGTTTTATGGCATAGGAAGCATTATTATTTGTATGTCCACATTACCAAGCAGCTTTGAAGGGTGTTTATTCTTTTTTTTTAAATATAGATCACTTAAGAATTAATTTTATCATATTCTTCCCATAACTGTGCTTTCCCCTCTGTGATTTTATTTTATTTTTAAAAAACAGACTTTATTTTTAGAAGCTATTTTCAATTCACAGCAAAAATGGGCATAAAGTATAGAGAGTTGCCACATACCCGCTGTCCCCTGCACACTTACAGAGTCCCTTCTGTCAGCACCCCTGCCAGGGGGCATGATTGTTACAGTTGATGAGCCTGTGTTGACACATCATCACCCAGAGTCCGTTTACATGAGGGTTCACTCTTGGTGTTGTATATTCTGTGGGTTTTGACTAATGTGTAATGACATGTGTCCACCATTACAGCATCATACAGAGTCGTTTCTCTGCCCTAAAAATCCTCAGTGCACTGCCTCTTCATCCCTCCTTCCCCTACCTCTGGAAACCACTGATCCTTTTACTTTCTCCGTAGTTTTACTTTTTTAAGAATGTCATATAGTTGGAATCATAACAGTATGTAGCCTTTTCAGATTGACTTCTTTCGTTTAGCAATATGCATTTAAGTTTTCTTTATATCTTTCTGTGGCTTGGTGGCTCATTTCTTTGTAGTGCTGAATAATAATATTCTACTATCTGAATATATCACAGTTATTTGTGTGTTCACCTGAAGAATCTTGGTTGCTTGCTAGTTTTGGCAATTAAGAGTAAAGCAGCCATAAATATTTGTGTGCAAGTTTTTGTGTGAACTTAAGTTTTCAACTCAATTGGGTAAATGTCAAGGTGCGTGATTGCTGGATCATATGGTAAAAATACGTTTAGTTTTGCACGACACTGCCAAAGTCTCTTCCATTTTGCATTCCCTCCAGCAATGAATGAGAGTTCTTATTGCTCCACATCTTTGCCACATTTAGTGTTGTCAGTATTTTAG